CAAACCATCAATCTTGAATAGAATGTTTAGGATTTCTTTTTCTTTTTTCTTGTGATGGAATATCCATACAAATAATCCGGCTAACCTTCCTTGTGATACGATCCGGTGTCGAATCTTTTGATTCTACTCCGGTAAAAATATTTACAACAGGGACCAAAGAATCTGACGAGTAACATGCACCACCGCACCAACACTTCTATAATCTGCCATAGCTCTAGAATAGCTAGCCGACATCCGCAGTACCTCCAATCTCCTGCTCTCAGCGCTCAAAACCTGATTTTTAAAGATTCTTTCATTACGCCAAAACCATGCTCGCCAAACAGTTATCGCAAAAATGCTATTCCAATTCACATAGGTACCCACTCGCGCCAAGGACAAGTTCATGCGCATCCACTGTTTTAATGAAAAACTGAAAAAGCTCACATCATAATCCGCCGGTAATAGTCTCTTCCACAGATCACAGGTTGATGGACAATCTCGTAAAACATGGAGCACCGACTCCAACCCTCCACACCTGTCACAAGCGGTCGATGCCGATAGGTGCCGTCGCAATCACTCAACATTAGTAAGTAGACGGTCTTTTGCAGCTAGCCATAAAAATGTTTGTGCCCGCTGCGGTACGGGGGTCCGCCAAATCATCTTCCATAAAGAACGATCATAGTCAGTCACGGTGCCGGCAAGAGACAGATAAGCCGATTTTGTCGAAAACCGATCGTCCTCTGAATGCGCCCAAGCAATACTATCTTCGCCGGCAGTCTCTCTAGCTATAGGCAGTTTAACAATAATATTTATGTAAAAAGAAAACTACTAGAACAATGTGATATAATATATTTTCATTTTTTGTACATCTTTTTAATTTTTTTTTTCGAAACGATAGAAGAATATATATATATATATATATATAACTCGAAGAGAACTGAGTATAAGATACAACTGTCAAACTTAACAAATCGAATCTAGAGAACCGAGAGGACACACACAAAGGCAGCCTAGAACCGAAACAAGAACTAAACACCACAAAAAACACAAGAACTAGCTAACTCTCCACTGCCAAGACCTAGAGAGTAAACAACACAACAACAGACAAGCAACAAACCAGAAAATAAAAAGGACCCTAACTAACTAACAAATGATGAAACATAAATTATCCAGTGAGCTGAGTATACTCCATCCATTGCCTGTGAGCTGTTTTGACAATTTGAGGAGCAGATAAGGCTGTGCTTTGAAATATCCAGAGATTGCGTGTTTTGCAAAGCCAGCACAATATATATGTGGTCAATTAGATTCTGTACTCTGCAACATTACAATGCCTGAGAGAACACATATTAGACCACCAACATTTGAATGAAGAAGTGTAAGAATTCAGTCCATCCCATTGCACAGGAGCAATGTCCCAAATCCTGCAGGCTTTAGGGCAATGAAACAACAGGTGTTCCACAGTTTCTTCCTCACATCCACAAGATTGGCAGATAACATCAATAGCTAGACCTTTTTTCACCAAATTTACTTTCACAGGTAGAGTGCCAATTATACATTTCCAAATGAAATGCTTGATTTTACCAAGTACTTTCAGTTTCCAGCACCTATTGAATATATTATGCAGACTATTTGATGAAAAGGAAGAGCTGCTGCCTGGAAGGTTAAGAGCAAGGATCTTCTGATTATTAAGATGGGCATAGGTGCTTGCCACTGTGAACGCGTAACGACTTCTAGGTTTTTAAGATGGGTATAGGTTCCTTAATCTAATATCTTGGCTCCGCCTAGGCGCTAGGCGCTGGTCGAACGCCTAACGACTTCTAGAACACGGATGCTATTATTTTGCTTGATTGACAAAATTCCAATTTAGTCCTTTTAAATTGACCAAAATCCGAAATTGTCATTTTCATATATATATTTTTTTTGTAAGAAAATATAAGTAATATTTTTATAAATAATAAATTTTAATGTTGAAGTAGTCTATAGATCACGCACTATGTAATATAAAGATCAAAACACAACTTAAAAAGTTTTACATCATGCACTATTTTTCTTTTATTACCCTCATCTAGCTAATAAATACACAATACTTTTTCATATTCACTCTTCATCTTTTCTCAAAACTTCATCCCTATCCTCATTAACTAGGGTTATTATTGAAAAAAAAAAACTTAATTAATGTGCAACTTCTCAAACCGCCACTTGTTAAAAATATGAGGAATTACTAGTTATACCCACACAAAAAAAATTCCCCTATATATAATTCCCAAATATGCTGAACCTAAGTGGCAGACTCTCATGCTTAGTGATCTTATGTGTCAAACTTCTATGCTTCATTATTTGGTTTTTGGATAGATTTTAATTTAACTCCAATCCAAAAATAATTAGGTTCGGATTACCATAAATATGTTGATTTATTTAGGATCATTATAGATGTATTAATTGTATTTTAATATCATTTCCTATTATAACCATTGAATTGTAAATGTATTTTAAAAGTTGATAACTTTTGTATTTCTTATCGATTTTACATATATAATATATAAAATTAATCATCTTTTGATGAACTTCGATTTGGCATCCATATTGTATATATTTTTTTTTTTGCCGGAACGATAGAGGATCTATTAAAAACCAAGAGCACAAATGTACGAATCAAAATACAAAGCTCCCAACGGGAGAATAAAAAACAACCAAAAGCTGAATAAAATGGGAGGACAAGTCTGACGACCGCCTAGAATCCCGACGCTAGCAACGCCTAGAAACTAAAACAAGACTCACTAGACAACTAACACAACAAAACACAAGGAAAAACTAACAAGTTCCCAACAGGAGAATAGAGACGGGAGCTGCTCCCAATAGGAGAATCAAGGTGCTCCCGCTCAGGCTTACAGAGGCAAACAATGGCCCAAACAAAAAACACAGATCCTAAACAAAACAGGCACAACCACAGAAAACAATTAAAACACAGAACCAAAAACCAACTAAAAAGCCCTTCCTCAACAGTAAGATCGAGTCCAACCAGCAAGGGAGCAATCTATATCAGGGAGAGGTCCAAAGGCCCAGTACCCGCAACCTACACTGCCTAAACGCCTATCTGAAGCAGATACCAGACTAGAACCAAACACCAATAAAGATCCGACCCCAGCCGGGAAGAATCGCCACTCATCTACCGGCTAACACCACTACCCGATACCAACACCGTACCACCCGCCTAACACCACTAGCCAAGTACCACCGCGCCAGCTCCCCCGAAACCCAAAAAGAGAGCCAGGGGAAGAAGAATAAAACGGCCCTCCCGCTCAGACCACTCCAGCACGAGTGCCACGAGCCGCCTGAGCCTCGCCCCTCTCTCCATTTCACCAACCCCAACAGCACAGAAACTCCGAGAGGCCCTCAACCGGAACCACGCAGCCTTACCTGAAGCACAGAAGTCCGACCGCAACCCAACGCTACCGCAGCGAACTGAGAAGAGGGAACACTGGAGCAACCACCGAGGGCGACCGCCGAGAGAAGACCGCCGGAGAAGACACCATCGCGATCTGAGGAAGGAAGACCACCGGAGTAGCCACCATCCCGAACGGAGGCACCTCCGAGCCGCCGAGGCGAGAAAAACCAGGAAGGGGGGACGAGCCGCCAAGGGCGACCGTCGGACTGAGCTTCGATTCCGCTGAGGAAGGCAGACGGCGAGAGCAATAGAGGGAGACGAGCGGCGGATTTGGGAGGAAGGGTTTTCAGACTTCCAAAAGCTATCTTTAGGCCTTAGTCTTTCATATTGTATAGATAAAATAAATAAATAAATTATATTTATCTTTATAATAATAATAAAATTATTTATTAAAACTAATTAGAAAAATAAAATTATTTCTGAATTAATATATTTATGTTTAATGTATTTATGTGTTATAAGTTAGAAAAATCTCCCCTATATATAATTCCCAAATGTGTTGAGCCTAAGTGGCAGGCTCGCATGCTTTGGAATACTAGATGTTAAAATTTCATTTTTTGTTATTTGGTGTGGATAGATTTTAATTAAATTCCAACCCAAAACTAATTAAATTCGAATTACCATAACTATATTGACTTACTTATGATTATTTTAAATGTATTAATTGTATTTTAATACCATTTCTTATTATAAGTATTGAATTATAAATGTATTTTAAGAATTTATAATTTTTGTATTTCTTATCGGTTTTACATATATAATGTATCAAATTAATCATATTTTGATGAGCTTCGATTTGACATCCATATTGCATATGTACAATAAATAAATTATCTTTATCTTTACAATAATAAAAAATATTTATTAAAATTAATTAAAAAATAAAATTATTTCTCAATTAATATATCACTTTTAATGTAGTTATATGTTATTAGTTAAAAAAATTATTATAACAAGCGTCATACTAAAATATATATATATATATATATATATATAAAGTATTTAAATTTTCAACTATTTTTTTCATTAATTTTAAATTTTAAGAAAAAATTTAACAAGCACCCGTGTAATACACGGGCGTTGTACTAATTGAGAAATAAAACAAATCTTGCAATTGAGTGCACTAGATATGGTCAACATTTTAATTGAAAAAAAAAAAAAAGACCTAATAATTGCCCTACACTAGATTTATATAATCAAGGTTAGATAATTCAAATAAAGAAGTAAACAAAAGAATATAGAAAATAAATAAAAGCAAATCATTCACGCATATATCCCCTCCCTCTTGGAATCTATTTAAGCACAACCATAGACTCCTTTGCAAGCCCCCTCCACACTCTCACGTCCCAAATCCATCCATCACAAAATAAATAACAACAATCCCACACTTTCTCTCTCTTAAAAAAAAAAACACGCACACACACACACCAACTTGTGCGTGTCTATGTATAAGATCTCTCTGTACTCAAACGCCACGTGTCTTTTCATCTCTCCTCATTTCCATCCTCTCAAAAAACGCCGCCGTTTTGATAAACATATTTGAAATTTTTATTTTTATTTTTATTTTTCAAAAAACATGGTATATCCCCAAACGTTTGATATTGTGAACCTAGAAAAGGACAGGGCCGCCGCCGCCTATAATCTCCTCCGCAAAATCGCCGGCGCCCGCCAGATTCTCGAGCTCGTGGCCCTCCTCGGCCTCATCTCCTGGTCAACCGCGCGCGTGCCGGCGGCTGCCACGAAGGCGGCGGCCCACGCCGCCTGGGTCTCCGCCCACCTTTTCAACCACCGCGTCGCCTTCCTCATCGGCAATTTCATCGTCGTCCTGCTCTTCCTCCACTTCCGCCGGAGCGATGCCGCCGACGCCGGCATCTACGACGAATACATCAGGCACAGCGAGGCGGCGGAGCACGTCGGCGAAAATCCGCCGCCTCCGGCGAGGGAAGAGGCGGGCGGCGGCGCGCCGCCCTCGCCCAGCGACGACGTGGCGGTGGGGATGCCACCGAGCGATGACGTGGCGGAGGTGATCGAGAGGGCGGTGAAGCAAATAAAGAGGTTTGAGAGGACGCAGTCGGAGAAATTGAGGCGGGAGATAAGGGTGAGGCCGCAGGCGGTGCTCCGGCGGTCGGAGAGCGAGAATCGGAGGACGGCGGGAGATATGGAGAGGCTGAGCAACGAGGAGTTCCGGCAGACGGTGGATGATTTCATCGACAAGCACTGGAGCAAGAAGACGACGATGTTGGAGAAATATCAGTTGGCTGCTATATATAATGGCGTTAATTAAATTCGAAAATGTGGATATTAATTAAAGTACATAGTGCATTAATTGTACTTCAATTAATTCACATTTTTAATTTATGGAGTAATTTTAATTAATTCACCTTTGTTGTTTCTAATTCCTGTTATTTTATCCTTATTGTTATTTGGTTTATTATTTAGTATTCCTACTCGAGATTAGGTAGAAACAGTTCGTCTATGACACCAGATGGTTGGTTCTCCTATAGAACCAACCACCAATGAGACCAGTGACGGATCTAGAAATTTTACTCAGGGGGGTCCGAGTTTAAATGTTAAATAACGAGCTTATTGTTTAAGTCGAAATACTCATTTCATATAAATATAAATATAAATAATGATACGTGTACCATAAAGTTTTTAAAGACATATAATCGTATCACCCTCCAACTTATTTTTTTTTTTTAAAAAAAAAAGGAGATTTCAAGTATTTATATGTTAAGTTCAACATCTATAATTTATGGACAAATAAGTTTTTTTGTTGAAAATTTGATTTAATTTGAACTTTTGCACAACATTCCATAGCATTTGTGTTGATTAAAGCTTATCAAATGATATTTTTCTAAGAAAAAATAAATAAAGTTAAAAATATGTGATTCACATAAAAAAAAAGAGAGTAAAAAATCAATATTAAAAAATGTAATAATTCAACTAATAAATACTCGGTTTTATAAATCACTAAATCGATTACAATCAATAGTCCAAAAAATTAAATCATTATAAATATTTTCAAAAGTTTATCTAAAAATTTAAAATATAAGGATTGTTAGTATATATTTTATAATATTAATAATTTAAATGAAAATATCTTAGGAAATAAGTTTTAATTTGTAAATATTGTAAATATTTTTTACATTGCTATAAATATATTATGCTATTTTATTTATATATATATTGATTTTTAATACGTTTTAATTATAAATATATTGTAATATTTTTTGTATTTCTATTTTATAGTATTTATATATATATATATATATATATATATATATATATATATGGATTTTTAAAAAAATTTGAGGGGAGCCCACGGGCCCCCCTGGCCCCCTTATGGCTCTGTCAGTGAATGAGACAGTGCCATATGGGGCTGTCTCACATGAAATCTTGTGGGACAGCCCCATGTGGCACTGTCTCATTGAAATCAGCAAAGTTGCACATAGAAATAATGTTACCTTGTACACAATAAGTACCTCTTTAAATGTTGGCATATGTCCTTTTATCTAGTTAAATGATAAAATAACATGAAAATTATATATATTTTAATTATTAAAATGCCCCAGCTTAAAATAGTAAATAATTCATATATTAGGTAGAAAATTCAGAAAAAAATAACGTAGAAAATAACATTTCAAATTGAAGACTCGTATAAACTCAAAACATCAAATTGATTATGTGGTATCAAAATGAGAGTTCATCCATCAAATTTGGACAATTGAGACACTGAATATCGTCGGTTGAAATTTTGTCTCGTTTGTCAAGCGTCCCTGAAAATATAGTAACTTCACCGTCGTTTTTTTGCACTATTGAAAGGTCGAACCAACAATTAGGTGATTCTTTGGATTCGTTATGAAAAGGGTTTTCTACAAATGCATGTTTCACTAGAAGTCCAATGGTTGGATCTCAGGTGACATTCTAAAAAAAAAAAAAATTTGCAATTCTTTTTTTTTTCGAAATTTTAACAAAGTTTTTGGTATCATATGATGAACGAAACATGCCACTGGAAAGATAGAGAAGAGTACTTAAAAATAATTTATAATTTGTTCAAATTCATCA